CTGTATCGATATAGAGCACCCTGCAGCTGCTGGAGTTTGTCTAAAAATCTAAAATTTAATGGAAATTAAATAGCAAAAAAAAAGAGGGTTTTGACAATTTCTAACTTAGATTTTTTTCCATTCATTGTTTCTTTTCAATGTTGCCTTCCTTTGGCTGGTGAAATGAAGCAGATTTTACCCAAACTTGCTCATCACTGATAGTAAAAACCCTACAATTTCACTGCAGCTGCTGGAGTTTGTCTAAAAATCTAAAATTTAATGGAAATTAAATAGCAAAAAAAAAGAGGGTTTTGACAATTTCTAACTTAGATTTTTTTCCATTCATTGTTTCTTTTCAATGTTGCCTTCCTTTGGCTGGTGAAATGAAGCAGATTTTACCCAAACTTGCTCATCACTGATAGTAAAAACCCTACAATTTCATTACCAAGAGCTCCTTAAAATAATGTTCTGTTTCTACTTTTCAGTCCATGATTTTTGCTTTGATCAGTTTTGTGCTTGGTTTTCTTCTGCCTAGAGAAATACTGACGCATCCCTGGTTTAGACTGTCCTCTGTGGAGTGTAATCAGGTCATGATCATTGAGCTTTGCCCAAAGGCACAGCTCAGTTTAGGGATTGATTTTTGGGTTTATACAATTAAAATAGGAACCAAAATATGTGCAGTAACTTCTGTGCAAGAAAATTGGCTCAGGGTAGGACTGGTCTGGCAATGAGAGCAAGGTTATAGAAGGACAAATGTGGGTTTGGTTTTGCTATTTAGTAAAGGAAGGAAACAATTTGGGGGTTCTGTTTGTTTGTTTGGGTTGGTTTTTCTAGAAATGAGGTGAAGGAGGATTTAAATAATCTCATTAAGTGCTGTCAGATTCAGAAAGATGTTTTAAGCAAATACAAAATGCAAACCTCACCCCAGGTGATGATCCTTTTAGGTGAATTGATCCTTTGGCTGGAAAACATGAGTGGGTTTTTCTGTCAGGAGGAGGAGCCCAGGCAGATGCTCAAACAGAGTAGTTTATTCTTGGGGTGATTCCAGACTTCTTTGCAAACTGATTCCTGCCCCAAAATCTTTACTGGTGTGTTTTGTTTTGGGCAGCCATCAAAACTGACACGAAGTCCACGGATGCCAAGAAGACCTCTGCAAAGTCACCATCAGGTAACTGTTAAGTTTCCATCTAGAATCATGGAGTCATGGAATCATTAGGTTTGGAAAAACCTTCTGAGACTACTGAGTCCAACCATTCCCCAGCACTGCCAAGGCCACCACTAACCCTGTCCCCGGGTGCCACATCCACATGGATGTTAAATCCCTCCAGAGATGGTGACTCCACCCCTGCCCTGGGCAACCTAACCTATGCCAGGACAGCCCTTTCCAGGAGGAATATTCCTAATATACAACGTAAACCTTTCCTGGTACAACCTGAGGCCATTTCCTCAATCTAAATCCAATCCCCCGTCTTTGGGGCCGGGGTTTAAGGAGTTCTCTGTGCATCTCTAGGCCTGGAGGTGTCCAAGGTCAGGTTAGATGGGAGCAAGCTGGATTAGTGGAAAATGTCCCCACCCGTGGCAGAAGGGTGGAATTGAATGATAATATACAACGTAAACCTTTCCTGGTACAACCTGAGGCCATTTCCTCAATCTAAATCCAATCCCCCGTCTTTGGGGCCGGGGTTTAAGGAGTTCTCTGTGCATCTCTAGGCCTGGAGGTGTCCAAGGTCAGGTTAGATGGGAGCAAGCTGGATTAGTGGAAAATGTCCCCACCCGTGGCAGAAGGGTGGAATTGAATGAGCTTTAAGGTCCCTTCCAACCCAAACCAGTCTGGAATTCTGTGACTCCAAGGAAGTTTGTATAAACAGCCTCTGACCCATGTTTTCCCCCTTCCCTGCAACGTTTCCTGTGGCCATTGCAGCAGACTCGAGCCGCCCTAAGAGTGCTACTGGCAATGCCACCAAAAGCAGTGCCACCACTCCTTCCACCACCGCCTCCAGTGCTCCCAGTGTCCCTGGCGTGGCCAAGCCCAAGCCCAAGCCTGCTGCAACCAAATCCGCCACGGCCTCAACCGCATCAGCAGATGCTAAAAAAACCACTCCCAAGGCTCCGACTAAACCCAGCACCGGTTCCAAGCCTCCTCGCCCCACCAGCAGTGTCTCTGCTCCAGATCTGAAAAATGTACGTTCCAAAATTGGATCAACAGATAACATTAAACATCAGCCTGGTGGAGGAAAGGTAAGTTTCTTCAAACCTGGTAACAGTAGACGCTTTGAGTCGGGAGCTCTTCGGCATTAGGAGTGCTCTTTGCTAATTTTGGTGGCTGTATCCTCACTGCTCTCCTCATTTACACTCTGCAGAGCTCCTCTCTGGGTTCTTGGTTTATGCACAAGGCATTAACAAGGCAGTGCTAGCAGTGTGCAGAAGGAATCCACCTCAAGAGCCATCCGGTGCCTGCTGGAATACTTGCAGGAATTCAGAACTCTGTTTCTGTTTTTCTGTTGTATGTCCTGTGTCTTGTCTATATCTCAAACCTTTGCCTCTGAATAGAGGAATTGAGCCTGCTGAATCATACAGTGCACTAGGATGAAGGAAATCTGGATTCAGGAGCAAGATCCCCAGCACCTTTTCCATGTCCAACCTGTCAGGCCCAAAGCTGACATGAAACAGGTCTCCGTTTGCTCTTCGGGTCACCTTTGGTGGCCACAAGAAGAGACTAGTGTTGAAAAAGCACATACAGAGCTATAACTTGAGGCTCTCAGTGCCTCATACTGCTCTTAAATTGCACTTTCACCATGAATATCTACCATGGAAATGATAAAGGTTTGGGGACATACCTGCAGCCTCTTCTGAGGTTTAAATAATGATGTGGCAGTGCATAGTCGTAAAACCTTGATTAGCTTTGTCCAACCCCCATCTCAGCCTGACCAAATGTGTCAGCAGCAGTCAGAGAGCTTTAATTCCCACCCAGTGGAACAGATTTGCCCACTTCTCTTTGCTGCAGCTCTGTGGTGCTGAAGAACTCGGCACAGAACTTTAATCTGATGCCAAGGGAGCACATTCCATGCTGGGAGCCTTAATCTGCTCTCAGGCACATTAAATCAAGGGCACTCCTGGGCTGGATGTTGTGTGTCACAGACAGCATCGATAGGGAATGGATTTACCCTCAGAGTCAAGAGTATCTTAGTTGTGCAATATCACAGTTCAGTCTTCATGGTGTCAGTTAAAGGGACTTAATTTTCACATGTAATTGCACTGTCCTGCGTGCTCTAAATATTTGCATAGAATTACTAAATCTTAAAAATTATATTTTTAAGAAAATTATCCTTTCCATAGTCTTATTTATGATGAGATGTTTTTAGAATCTGAGAATGCTGTTGGAGTGCTGGTGGGGTTTTTGTTTACTGGTCTATAGGTTAGTGAAAAACAAGATTTATGCTGAACCCCCCACCAGAAAAATGCAAGTTCTGCTGCACTTGCCTGGATCTAGATTAGCAAGAGAATGGATATTCTCAGGTAGTGGCTGAATTTTTATCAAATCTGTAAATTTCCCTTCAATTTCCTGCTCAGCTGGACTAGCTGAGTCCACCTGAATTTCATTACATAAAAACTAACCTAGCTGTTGAGTTCAAAGCCTGAGTGAAGTCAGTGTGTGGGTGGGAATCTGAACTGGAAGTGCAGTGTGTCTGTATCCAGCAGAGCTCTTGGAGTTCCAAGGCAAAGACAATCAGCCATGGCTGTGTTTGTCTCCAAGATCTGCATCGTGTCCTCCATGTGCAGGAGTTGCTTCTGCACTGCTGTTTGGTTCCTAAAAGATTTGGTTTCGTTTTTTGACAGGATAACTGACTGGGGTGACTGGGGTCACTTGGAACCTGCCAACGTGACCCTTGATCCTGAGGAAGGGCACCTCTGAGTTTTTTGAGACATGGAGAACTTAATAACTGCTTTATGACCCCAAGGTGCCTGTGTCACCCCACGTCTGAGTGATGTTGCTTCCCTCCCACCCCTCAGTTTGATCGCTCCTGGGCATGGGATTATCCTTTGCCTGAGAATTAGAGCATGCAAGAAGCTCTCCTGGGTCATCTGCTCCATGAAGTTGATCCGGGTAGCTCGTGTTCCCATCCTCCTGCCCACACTTCTATTTTTCCTGGTTGAAATCATCCATTTGTCTCCATCCAGGGGAAAATGGAGAAAAGGCCAGAATCAGCCGCCGCCACGCAAAAGTCTGAGCCCAATGCGGTCACTAAAGGGGCTCCTACTAAAACATCTGTATCAAAAGAGAGTGTCCCCAAACAGCCCAATGGGAAAGTGAGTTCCTTTCAGACTTTTCTCTGGGGGAGATGAAGGAAAACGTTTCCATTTTGAGTTATTTCCCTTCTCTTCAGCTCTTCTGCTCTCTCCTGTCAGTGTCACTGTTCCTTGCACAGACACTCTTCACATTCTTTCTTGTACACCCTGAGATGTTCTCAGTGAAACACCTTCAGAGATCTCTCTGGAGGTGCCTTCTCCACACCTGCTGGAAATGTTTTTCAGAGCAGAATCCTCCAGTTTCACTTTTAGGTTGGTACAGGCTTGACTTTGAGTCAGAGGTTTCCCTTAAAACCAGTTCTTCACACACAGAACCAGTTTGTAACTAGGCAGAGAGAGTTTGACTTCAGAGCTGCTTCTTTAAGACTGCAGAATATTAAGGAATTCATGTCTTTCCTGCAATATTCCCAACCCAGTTGTACCCGAACTCCGTAACTCCATGCAGTAGGCTGACACCATTTGATGGGTTACTCCAAAGCTGTCATGATGTGATGTTCCAGCATGAGGGGGGTGGACTGAGCAGTGAGTGTTGCAGCTTCATTCCAATATTATCAGGCAGAGCCTGTTCAGGAATGAACAGGATTTGTACCTCCAGACAAATCAGTGAACCACCGCACACTCTGTGGCATAAGTATGTTTTCAGAGCTGCTGTTGCCCTGAATCCAGCCTGGCTAAGGAGCTTTGGGAACTTGCTCAAGTGGGAATGTTCTGGTGATTCCTTTTGTGCCTCAAGTTTATCACCTCTTTCTAGAAGGCAGAGCACAGCTTCTGCCCCATTTTGTGCTGCAGTAAACAACTCCCAGACTAAACACGTGTTGTAACTAACCTTTGCAAACACAGGCCTGTTACTCTACCTCAGTTCCTGCCTCTGGGAGTAAAGCTCACTTACCCTACTCCTTTTAAAACATTATAGTATCACAGAGTCTTTGAGGCTGGGAAGGATCTCTGAGATCATAGAGTCCAACCATCAGCCCAGCACTGCCAAGGCCACCGCTAACCATGTCCCTAAGTCCAAGACATTCTAATTTAAAGGAGAAACAATTAACATAAGACTCATCTAATGTAATTTAACTGAAGGTTTTAAAACCTTCATCAGAAAAAAATGTTTCTCAGACCAGGCTTTCCTGCCCTTGAGGGGTGTTATTCAGGACTGGAGCTAATCCAGGTGCAGACACTGAGCAGTTCATAGAGTGCTGGAAGCAGTAGCCCCATGGCTCTGAGGTGGCTGAACTGGCTCTTACTGCTCCAGAGACCTCCTGGGAAGCCTCACAGGAGACATGGACAAACCCATGCCTTGGGACAGGCAGGCAGGTGCCCACCTGGTGATGGTGACCCATAGGGTACGTGGAGGAATGCTCTTCACCGTAGTGCTCATGCTCTGGCACTAACACTGTCTGTGCAGCCTCTTGTCCTTCACTTTTTTTTCTCACTCTCTTTCTCAGTTGCTTTCACACCTGACACTAAAGTTGGATTCAGTTTAACACAACTCCTTGTTTATCCACCGTGTTAGAGCATCCACTCCAGCCTGCCGTATGACAACTCTAACCAGTCCTCTTCCCTTGTGTTGTTTTCCATTCTGTAACGTTCCAGGTCCAGATAGTCTCCAAAAAAGCGAACTACAGCCATGTTCAGTCCAAGTGTGGTTCCAAGGACAATATTAAGCATGTCCCTGGAGGTGGGAATGTAAGTATGGGCTCTGGGCAAGCTGTCTGTCTACTAACTCCTTCTCTTGTACTATGTTGTTGTATGTCAGTCTCAAGAATGCTCTGTTTGAGGCAGAAAGGTGTGGCAGAGTCTCAGGTCTTCTGGAAGTAATGTAGGCTGGAGAATTATTCCATTTTTTCACCCATGGGATGCCAGGTTGAATGTGTGTGTTTTGTTTCCTAGTGCTGCAACCACACCTGACCTGTTTCTCACCTGGTTTATGGGTGTCCATGACCAAACACAGGATGTACACTGTGCTGATCCCAGGAGTTAACGTGCCATGAACCCCTCTGCAGGCAGTGTAGACACCTCCTCAGCCCTCTGACCTATTGTAGATGTTTGATTTTTCAGATGACATTAATTGTGGCCTAGAAGTATCTTTTACTCTTCAGTGGCTCAGAGGCCCAGCTGGAGCCAGAGTCGTTTCACTTCTTGTTTCACTAAAAGGACTTTGAAACAGGAAAAGTCTCTGGGACTTAATCTTTGAGCTGTGATTAATTTCTAAATTTAAAGGCTGCTGGTTGGTATCTCTGGCAGGAGAGCTGTGCTGATTAAAATAGAAAGCTAATCTGGTGGTGTCTGCGACTTGGTTTGGGGTGTTAAATCCTGAAAGTGCCTGGCAGGAAAACCAGGTTAACTGTCCAGATACTAAAGCTTGGGAAAGCATAAGTGTGGATTGGTGACTTGTTTCTGTGCGGGCAGATCTGTGCTGCCCTAACAAGCCCATGCTGGGCACTTTGTACGGGGATAGTTTGCAGAACTACAAGGCTTGGATGGCTTCAAAGACACTGAAGTGTTTGAGCCCAAGGAAGTTTGTTCTGTAGGTGTTCAGATATTCCAGGTTCCACATCTTGTGATGTACCAAGTGCCAGAGAGCCGGCACCAGTGAGGTTCTCTGTCCACACACATCCCTGGGGCCAGGCTCACTGCTGCTCTGTAGTCAGTCAGTGTTTGGCATCTGGTTCAGTGCCACAAACGCTGCTCAGCACCTGCCTGTGGGGCCAGCTGTGGGCTGCTTTTCCTGGGAAATACATTTCCAGCTGGCTGAACCATTGCATCACTGATTTGTCCTCAAATATTTGCAATAGGCAGCCAGATCTGAGTTCTCAACAGGTTTTTGCCCTTCAGGTTGGTTGCCAAACTGATTAGAGACAGATATTGGACTGACAAATGTTGTGGTCACTCAGAGTCACTGGACACACATCCCTGCTGCCCTCCTGTTTGTGGATTTGGGGTTTGCCACTCGGATTTGATACTTCCATGACTTACACAACGTTTGTGGGAGTATTTGCCATGGAAATGCTCATGCAGGAGAATTTGAAAAGCTGATGTTGAGCCCATTGTGCCAGTTGGATGCTGTCGTCGTACTTTTCAGTCCTGCGTGTTTCTGCTCCTCTGTGTATTTCACCTGGTTTTGTCTCCCAGGTTTGGACTTACAGGGTCAGTGTTCTGTGGCAGAAGTGCCTTTAGCCACACTGGTGTCAGTTTTTGGAGCAGTTGGTGTCATTTACATGTTCCTGCACTCCAAGGAAGTGTATTTTATAAGCCACTTCAGTTTTGCCACTCTTGCCTCATAGAGCCTTTCGGTGGCCAAAGAGCCTCACACATGCTTTGCCTTTTTTTCAGGCTACCAGAAATGGGTTTAAATGTGGGGGATGTTTTCTTGCTTGCTTAACTACATTAGTGAACTGTTCTTCTGCTCATGAATCACCATCCTGCCCTTCCCTCTTTACTGTCAGATGTTCCCAACCCTAGGGACATGTCCCTGCTTTCCTTTTTCTCTTCTCCCACACTCTCCTTTCACCACTGCAGTTTTCTTCCTAGCTCAACTACTTCAGCAGCACTTTATTCTGTATTCTCAAAGCAAAAAGCTTATTTCCAGGATCCAGATGCCCCCAAGGCAGCTCCAGGCAGGCATTCCCAGCACTCCAACACCTCCAGCACAGGCAGTATGGATCTGAGTGCCCAGTTTGTCTTGCCATAAAATAATTTCCTTTTATTCATCTTTATGTTTTCTCACTCCCTTTGGAGCACTGTGGTATTAGTGACCTCTTCTAAGATGTTTTCTTGCTCAAAGAGTTATGATGATCACTTTTGATAGAAGAATTCCCAATGTTTAATTCCCTGATGGGGCTGCAAGAAAGGTCTGTTTCTCCTGTATGTGCCTTCAGTTAAAGCTTTTAGGAATCCTGTGGACAAGAGTTGTGGTTTAGCAGGAAATTATGATTCAGCTTTAAGGTTGCTCTGGGAGAAGTGATGGACACAGAATTATAGAACTGTCAGAGTCAGAAAGGACCCTGAAGGTCATTGAGTTCCACCCCCTTCCATGGGCAGGGACAACTTCCGCTAGGCCAGGTTGCTCCAAGCCCCATCCAACCTGGCCTGGAACACTCCCAGGGATGCAACATCATCCTGCCATCCCAAGTGAAGTGGTTCCTGGTTGGTACTCTCTTTTTGGATGCCCAATTTGCCTTCAACACACAGTGATAATTTCTTCTCCCCTCCAAGATTCCCAAGAAGCCATGCCCCAAAGCCATAAATATTGTTCCTGCTCATGTTATATTTGCCCGAAATATTTTGACAAACATAGTAAAGTTTCCTGGGTAAAAGTTTTTGTTGTGCTTTAGTATTTCCTCCTCTCAGAATCCCAGAATCCATGAGGTTGGAATGACCTCCAAGATCAAGTCCAACCTTTGACCAACTTTTCTCTTTACAGCAAGCAGTGAAGAGGTAGATTTTGCAAAGTACAGGTAATGTCTGTGGTGTTGAAGGTATAAGGTTGATTTGGAATGTACATATGTTTCTCTGCCTCTTTGGTTTGACTTGCTTAGATGCATTGGAAAGTGGTCAGAGATAGAAAATCTTCGAGTTGAGGATCACACTAGGCTCTGTGTTCACGCTCCCTAGATGAGTCTTTGTATGAAGCTTTTGGCTCTAAAGTTTATTTCTGGCACCAGAGTCTATGCTTGGCTCTGTAAGTACAAGCCCAAGCCTGTAGACCTGTCTCCCAGTGCAAACACAAAGCGACTCATGTTAGAAATCCTACAAGAAATCCACTGCCATGCAGGTGTCATAGTTTGGATCTCCAGGTGAAGTTGTGAGGAGTCACACCTGGGTATGCCTGCCCTAGCTGATAACTAATATTTGGTTTTAAAGTGCATTCGGTGGCATACATTTAATTTTATCCCAGTTCCAAGCAAGCAAGTACTGATGATTGAAGCTGTAGTGACTTTATTAACAATCTCTGAGAAAAATCAAACTCAGTAGCTGTGATCTCACCTTTTGAGAATGGCACTGACTCTGTGACCATGGCACAGCAGGGCCGGAGCTGTGCTGTCCTACTCACCCTGAGCAAACAGGACATCAGGGCTGGGACTCATCCCTCTTCATAAGGGCCTGAGGAAGATCATCATAACTCTCAGTATCTCCCAGAGTAGCTGGTGAGTGAGTGAATGAATTCTTGTCACACATTTTCTCTGCGAGCTGACCTGTAGCAGAACTTGCTGAGCACATAGTTGCCCGCTGGTGGTTGATGCCAGAACTGGGATTGGTGATTCTTTTCCCATTATTACCAAAACCCCAAGATATTTCCCATGAAAGGTTACAACGTCAGCTTCCTTAGACCAGATGACCAGAAGTTCCTTCTGGTATAAATTATCTTATGTTTGTATGAAAGAAAAGATCTCCAGGTGGTTAGACAAGCAGTTCATTCCTGGAAAATAGCTTCCCCACTCCCAGTGTCTTGTCTTTGAGAAGGACAATTTCATGGAGCAGTTTGTTCCATCTGGGCATGATGATCCTTCATAGAAGCATAAAATGGGTTGGGTTAAAGCTCATCCAGTCCCACCCCCTGTCATGGCCAGGGCCACCTTCCCACAGAACAGGTTACTCCAAGCCCCATCCAACCTGACCTGGAACACTTCCAGGGATGGGGCAGACACAGCTGCTCTGGGCCACCTGTGCCAGTGCCGCACCACCCTCACAGCCCACAACTCCTTCCCAATATCCCATCTAGCCCTGCCCTCTGGCAGTGGGAAGCCATTCCCTGTGTCGTGTTCCTCCAGTCCCTTGTCCAAAGACCTTCTCGATCTTTCTTGGAGCCCCTTGAGGCACTGTAAGGGGTTCTAAGGTCTCCCTGGAGCCTTTTCTGCTCCAGGCTTGAACAAGATGGAAGAGAGATGAGGTTGGAGCTGGTGACATGTCCCTGGCCCTGCAGCAAGAGAGTGGCCAAGTAGAACCCTGGGATGACATCTGTCCTGGTGACCATGTGGAACTGCCCAGGTCATGGCAGTGTTCTCAGTGGACAGGAACGGTCTGGGGAACGTGGCAATGGGATTGGCTTTTTATTGGTCCCTCTTCCAAGCGTTTTTGTATTCCATGAATATGCCATGAGCTCAGGACTCCACTTCTGGTTGCTGTCCATCTCTCAGTGTCCTCTGGTCTCAGTTTCTGCCCCTCATATTAACCCTTTCTGGCTGGTGCCAACCTTTGAGTGACACTGAAGCTGCCGACGGCGTTTGGCAGTGCAGGTGGCTGGGAATCAACAGGAGATTATTCCCAGGGGCTGGGAATCAGCAGGAGAAAGTAACATGGTAGACCAGGGGTGCAGGTTCATGAAGAACAGCCTAATGTTTGAGGTGGCCCATTGGCCTCCAGAGTCACAGGAGATGTTGCTCTGCGCTGAGTTGGTTCTTTTGTCTCTTCAGGTGCAGATCCAGAACAAGAAAGTTGACCTTTCCAAAGTGTCCTCCAAGTGTGGCTCTAAAGCGAATATCAAGCATAAGCCAGGTAGGAATTCTACCACTTCCTCATGGTTTGTCTGTGGATTTTGGACGTCCCTTAAATACAGCCCTGGACTGTGACTGAAATAGTTTAAGGGGTGTGTTGCTTTCAGGGAGCATTTCCAGAAGCGTTGGAAATGCTTCTTCAGCAGCTGCTGGTGGTTTCGTGAACAGAGAAGGGGATTAGGAGATGTGAGATATCCTCTTGCCTGTGAGGTTAATCTACTGTTTGGACTCAGTTCTGCTTTTTTCTGCTCATTGGAAAAGAAAAATATGGATACTTGCCATGACCATGCTCACAGAGGGCTTTGGGGCACTCAGAACATCCATGCGCTATGGAAGGATAAAGGCACTTCCCTCCAGTTCTTCAATGCACTTAGAAGGGTCCTTTTAGCCTTGAGTTCATGACAGCTCCTGTCTTACAGGGCCCTTTAATGATATTTTTATGGGTTGAGTGTGCAGGAATTGCTTGTTCCCTAATGATAACACAGCAATTTGTCTGTGTGAATTCCTGGGAATCTCAGGTTTCCACCCAAGGAGTGACCAGCCAACAGTTCAGATGGGGCATAGGCAAACCTCACATCCATGGTTCTGTGGCTGTAGGCACCTTGTTTCAGATGTAGCACCCTAAAAGATGGTCAGTCCTGTGACCTTTGCTGGTCTGTCGGGATCTGAGGACACTGATCCACTCAGGACGTCCCGCGCACGAGGGACAAAGTTCACTACCCAAAGCATAAAACAAATCCCACAGGCTTGTCTTTGTCTGCTCCTGGGAGTTCCCTGCACCCTCTGCCAGCCTGCCAGGTTGAAAGCAGTTCAACCTCATCCACCGAGCCCCACACTCCAGTGCCTCCAAACGTGCTCCCGCGTTGGGAACGTGGTGCCACAACCATGACCTCTGCTTGCTCAGTGCTCGGAAATAACAAGGCTGAGAGTGACAATAACTGCCCTTGTCCAGAGCTGATTAAAGCAGAACAACCCATCCAAAGGCTGTCAGAGGTTTTAACTGGTTTTGTGGGACCAAATCAGTTGGTTTCCACCATTGGCCATGCCAAGCTTCCAGAGAGCTGAGAGCTTCCAGAGTGCTGAGGGTTTAATGATGGCTCTGGGAAGCAAAGTTGTGTTTAGCAATACTTAAATTAGTTTTTGGAGGAAGCTGCTGGAATATGGATTGTAGCTAGTGAAAGGTGTCCCTGTCCACGGGAGGGTGGTCGGAATGGTCCTTAAGGTCCCTTCCAAGCCAGGCCATTCTGTGACTCCATTCTCTGATATCTGTATACAGTCTGATTTATTAATGAAGGAGGCCACCAAAATGTTTAGAGGGATGGAACACCTCTCCTTAGTTTTTGGAGGAAGCTGCTGGAATATGGATTGTAGCTAGTGAAAGGTGTCCCTGTCCACGGGAGGGTGGTCGGAATGGTCCTTAAGGTCCCTTCCAAGCCAGGCCATTCTGTGACTCCATTCTCTGATATCTGTATACAGTCTGATTTATTAATGAAGGAGGCCACCAAAATGTTTAGAGGGATGGAACACCTCTCCTCTGAGGAGAGTCTGAGAGAGCTGGGATTGTTCAGTCTAGAGAAGAGAAGGTTTTGGGATGACCTAGTTGGGGACTTCTGGTACTTCGAGGGAGTCTACAAGAAAGATGGAGAGAGACTATTTACAAGAGCCTGGAGGGACAGGACAAGGGGAATGGCTTACCACTGCCAGAGGGCAGGCATAGATTAGATATTAGGAAGGAATTCTTGGCTATAAGAGTGCTGAGGCATTAGCACAGGTTGCCCAGCAGAGCTGTGTCTACCCCGTCCCTAGGTGTTCAAGCCCAGGAGAAACCTGGGCTAGTGGAAGGTGTCTCTGCCCATGGCAAGGGGTGGAACAAGATGATCCTTAAGGTCCCTTCCAGCCCAAACCATTCTGGAATTCCATGATTCTATGACTATAGGGAACTACAGTATTTCAGAATCTACTCCATCCTGGAAAAGTCATGCAAGAAATCTGCAGCTCTTTTTTTTTGAACGTTCATGTTCTCCTGAACCTGAAGTGTCCATGCAGTTCCCACACTTGGCTTCTCCCTGCCCACGTGATGCCCTGGGTCAGGCACACAGGTGTGTGTGCCAGGGAGGAGCTGTTGGTGCAGGCACTCAGTGGTGCCAGTGATGGAGCAGGAGTGGGAAGGGATAACAAGGGAGGGAAGGCAAGTCACAAAGAGGAGCAGAAGGTGTCCTGGCACTGATCACAATGCAGATGGCTGAGCTGGCAGAGCCCTGGGCAAGGGACAAGGACAGGAGCAGGCAGCTGGTGTCAGCCATTGGAATGGTACCAGTGAGGGGTGGGGTGGAGATGGCATTTCACACCTCTGGTGAAGGAGACAGACTCAGGAGCAGATCCAGTGAGGATCTCTTCCAGCCTGTCCATCTGGACATGCAACATTCCCCACCTGAGGCATCTTCAGGGCTTTGCCATGCAGCCCTGGCACAGGTGGGAATCACCATCTTTGGTCTTGCCAATTTTTAAAGCAAACTTCAACTGAGGAGAGACAGAGACAGTAAATGTGTTACTTGGTCCTGTCTCTCCTCCAAAGGGTCCCCAGCTGCTCCTGGGGTGTTGGGGAGTGGATACATCCTGGGTGGGAATGTTCCATGGGCTTTAATAAACTTACCCCTGCACCATCTTGTTGTAGGAGGAGGAGATGTCAAAATTGAAAACCAGAAACTGAACTTCAAGGAGAAGGCCCAAGCCAAAGTGGGTTCTCTGGACAACGTGGGACACTCGCCAGCAGGAGGAACAGTGAAGGTGGGTGCAGAGAGCTCTGGCACATCAGAGTAGGGTTTAAATTTGGTTCTTCTCCTGCTGTTGGTGCAGTGCACTTTCTCCACCCCGAGCCTGTTACAGCCATCTTCTCATTTCTGTGGCCTCTGTTGTGCACCCCAGGAGTAAGTATGAACCTCAGGAGTGAGAATGGGATGGAAAAGAGAGCTCTGTGAACCACCTTGGCCTGCCTCACCAAGCTCCTTGCTAGGCACTCCTGAGGTCTGGTACTGCCGATCTCCATCCTTCCTCTGGGACTCTGGCAGCAGGGATCAGTCTAAGCTGCGAGCCCCTCAGAGAGGCTGCCTGTGGCCTTTACCCCCAGTTGAAGCTGGTGACATCCAATTGCTCTGTGCTGGGAGAGAGCACCTTGCAGCTCTTGGGAGCACTTAGAGAATCATGGAATGCCCTGATTTGGAAGGAACCTACAAGGATCATCAAGTCCAACTCCTTCAGCCTATGACCTGTTCGTGTGAGGATAAGAGCAGGTCGTTGTGCTCTCATGTCTGTGATTCATCCCTTCTTTCATGAGAACATGAGCTGCCTCTGGCCTTGGCTCTGCAAATTCCAGGTCTGGTTGTAGCATCTGTTCTTGGGGAGTGGAGTTCCCCCCATGACCACCTGCTGAGGGATGTGTGTGCTTCACCCATTGCACCACATGATCAGCACAGAGCTGGGGATTGTGTTCAGGGAGTCACTGGTGCTGGGGCTGGAATCATGGAGTCATAGAATGGTTTGGGCTGGAAGGGGCCTTAAGGATCATCCAGTCCCATCCCCTGCCATGGGCAGGGACACCTTCCACTAGCCCAGGTTGCACCAAGGGCTGGTGGCTCTGGAAGTGGAGAAAACACTCAGAGCTGTTCAGATGTGAGTCCTTGCCCCCAGCAGGACAGACAGACACAGAAGAAACTCCTGCAAGCACTGAGAGCCTTTGGTTGTCCCAGTCTGGTTTTGTTTGAGGACTTTTGAGTTGTGGAAGGATTCAGAGTTGGGCTCAAGCTCTTGCGTTAAACACTGTGGAAAGAAATAGTCCCAGTCCTGAAGAGCAGTTCATGCCACAGAATTCCTGAGTGGATTTGATGTGTGCTCAGTCATCCCTGGTAAAACAAGACGAGAGGGGGACAGCCAGCATGCTGCTGGGACACATCAGGACTCTCCTGTCTCCAGACTTTTATGGAAACTCCAGCCTGGCAAATTGGGAGTCAGTGAAAGCTGGAAGGAGCTGGAGAAGCTGCTGGTGCATTGGGAGAGATCCGGCACTTTCCGTAGCAGAGTTCCAGTGTCTTGAAGTGTCTGGTCCATGTACTAGTGCTGTTTGCTGGGAACTGGGGCTTTCCTTGAAATTCTAAAATCTCACCTGTTCGGATTGAGTCTGATTTTGTAGTATTTTGCTGCCATCTCCATGGGTGTCTGTGATGACAAGCGTTGTGGTGTCTCAGTGTCTTTCCAAGCGACTCTGTAGCTCTCAGCAGGCTCCCACCAGTGTGTCAGTCTCTTCTCCGGGTGCAGGAGGACTCATCTTTCTTCCAAAGCTAGTAAAAGGGATGACAAGCTCTGGTAGGAGAACAGACCACAATGGGGTTGTCTCTAAAGATCACACTCACAGTGCATAGTACATCATCAAGGGACAATGAAGTCCTTTGTGTCAACTTGGCCTTCCTGGTATGGGAGCCACAATGTGTTAGTATCGCGGAATCTGGGAATGGTTTGGGTTGGAAAGGACCTTAAGAATCACGGAGTTCCAAACCACCTGCCATGAGCAGGGACACCTTCCACCAGACCAGGTTCCAAGCCAACATGGCCTTGAACAATTCCAAGGATGGACCAACCATGACCTCCCTAGACAACAAGCATTGTTTGGGTCTGGTATAGAAATGTGTTTCCAAGTCACTGGGACTGTTGTCCTGTCACCAGGGTGTCCAGGTGTGTGTTTAGGGAGCAGGTGCTGAGCTCCAGCTCCTGTGTTCAGCTTGGAGGAGCTGGCAGGGCCTGAAGGTCCCAAGGGACCAAAGCACTGTGAGACTCATAGAAACATAGAATGTTAAGGAATTGAAATGGACCTTAGAGATCATCTACTCCCAACCCCCTGCCCTGGGCAGGGACACCTCCCACCAGACCAGGTTGCTCAAGGTCCCATCCAACCTGGCTGTGAAAACCTCCAAAATAAAGGTTGAACATTGTGATGGGGCAGCAAAGCTTCTCTGGGCAACCTGTACCAGTGTCTCAGCACCCTCACAGGAAAAAACTTTTTCCTAGTTCTAATCTAAATTTCCCTCTTCCATCTTATCCCCATTATACCTTGTCCTATCCCTCCAGTTTCTAACAGAGTCCCTCTCCAGCTTCCCTGTGGCCCTTTCTGATCCTGGAAGGTTCCTGTGAGGTCTCCACACAAAGGCTGAACAGCCCCAACTTTCTCAGCCTGTCTCTGTAGGGAAGGTGCTCCAGTCCTCTTCTCAGCTTTATGGCCTCCTCTGGACTTGCTCCAACACTTCCATGTCCTTCTCTGTTGGGGACAGCAGAACTGTGTGCAGTACTCCAGGTGGAGTCTCACAAGAGCAGAGCAGAGGGAGGGAATCACCTGGCTGCACTCCTTTTGCTGGTCTCTTGTCCTCTGAGAAGCTGGAGAGCTGCTCAGGACATTGGCTTCCCAGGGAGCAGTGGCTGCTCCTCACTTCCAACCCTCCCTCGTCCCTGCGGCAGCTGGGGAGGGCGGAGGGGGCTCCGGGAACCCACCCCCACACCCCCTTGCACCCCCATTCTCTATTGACTCGTCCCTGTCGTCCTCCCCACCCCGTTTGT